CAATTATTTTATTGATCTTCAAAATATTCGATTATTTCTCAAAACATCACGTGGTTTGTGATGTTTGTGATCATTCTTACCCAATTATTTCGTTATTATATTCATTAACGTTTTGTTCAGCAAAATTTTTTCAACAAAAGTCTTACCAAAAGTAGAATGCCAATTTGCGCCACTAGAATAGCGATCAGGAATTCGATCCTTGTGAGAGTTTGCTTCATCATCGCGATATCATCGAGCATACTGATCACTCGATCATATTCCTCGATAAACGCCCTCAGCCGTATATCGCGATCCATTATTGAGTATCTGTAATTTCTTGGAAATTAGTTTCGTCCAGCTTATTTCTTACGAGCTTATTTCTACAAATAACCAGCGAATTGAACAAGAACGAGGTAGTTCATTGAAGGTGTTTGATTAATTATTACTATTTGTAAATGAAACGTTCCGCTTCTAGCTTCTATGCGATATGTTCTGTTTGCGATGATCGCATAGCACTAGTCAATGAAATGATCAGTTAATCACTTTTAACGATCAAACTGAATCGACTGAGAAGAATTTAAGATCACATCACAAAGAATTGAGAAAAAGTTTCGATTTTAACATTTAATTGAACTGATTATTTGTTTTTGAACAGTTATGAAACGATAAAGACAAGAAATAAAGGCATACCAATAATTTAATGGTGATGAGAAGTAGTAAAGTTAGACTGAATGTTTCTAATGACTGTATGAGAGGAATACGGATGATGGATGATGGATGCCACTGGAAGAGATATATCATAAAATAAGTGAGTATTCACGCATTTGTCGAACAGGAAGAATGAATGGTGCAAGTGAATGACCAAAATATTTCAGTTGGCATTGTTCAGAGTGATTTGCGGTTAATGTTTACATGGAAGTATTCGAGTAAAATAAACTAAATTGAATAATGTTCGCTATTAAACAAGCCAATAAAACAATAAAAACTTAATCTCGTCTTCCTTCTTGAATGACCCAACTGAGATGTTTTCACGCTTCCATTCATCTGTTCGTATGATTTGTTTTTGGGCAATCTTTTAAGCCAGAGTTTGGTTCGTCTTTATATTGGTTGTTGGTTTTATGAGATCAACGACTTCCACTAGTCTCGCTTGTTTGGTTTGCTTCGTGTCACGCATTCTCCTTCATGCTTAAGACTGAAACTGACTGAGTCAACGTTGACACTAGACGAAGACAAATATTATGGCTGCTGAGATGATGGTCTATCCGAAATAGTTTATTCGAACCAAACAAACACTATGGCTGAGATGATCGTCAACGTCGTGGTCGATGTGGTTTTAGGCAATCCAAAGCAGTTTATTGCTCATTATTGGTGATGCTCTTAACAAAGCGAATGAATCTCTAGCAAAAATGATTTATGAGCGCCGCTCATACAAATCGCTTACATGCATTGACTTCGTTTGGTCCGCTTAATGAATTTCTCAACGATCAAGCGTCAAACGAGTTGTTTTGCTTGCATGGCCAATGAAATTGTTTGTTATACTAGCGTTACTGATATGGTCTTGAACAAATTTAAATGAAACACTATCTGAAGATATTCTCACCCTGATATTTTGCTGATGATAATGAATACGATAGGAATAGCAATCATATGGTGAATTACTATTGATAATGAACTTAGTTACCATTTGCTTATTTTCCATTGTTTTAGTAACACTTATTGTTTTTACAATTATTGCTTTTTGATCATTCAGAGTTTTCAGTTGATTA